TCGGTCGAGTCAAAGTTTTGACTCGGACCGAGTCAATACTAAATGGGCCGAGTCAAGAGTTGACAATGGGCTTGGGCTGATTCGTTCTGACTCGACCGAGTCAGAGTTCTGACTCGGACCGAGTCAATACTCGGAAAAAGTCTCTTTTCACAAGGATTAGGGTTCCTATCTTATAAGAAGGGTATTGGACGCCGTCCTCAACCTAAGACAGACGAAAAGAACCCTAAAACAGAGCAAAAACTCAGAAGAAATCGTTTCTTTCATAGTTCTAGCTCCCGGGATTAGATCCCACTTCATATACTTCACAGATCCTAGCAGATCAGTTCCAAAAGTGTTTGGAATCCTTCCCGTCGGTGTGGATACGTGTAGAGGAGCTGTACTTTCAGCTCTTGGTGATTAAAACAGGCCCTGGATCGATTGCTACTTTCAGATCTTCAGGAAAGAGGTAAGTATTCGATTCCTACGGTGATATACACGATCTGTCGGGGTTTTACGGATGATTTTGGTTGCGTGTGACGTTTGACTAGGTTTAGATTATCCTTCCGCTGCATGAAACCTAGTAAACCAAACCCTAGATCGATATGATCGCATGCTAGGAATCCGTAGCCTAAATCCCAACAGGACAAACCAAGGATGAGGAGCCGGACTAACCGAACTCAACGGGAGCCGTCGGACACACCGGACGGCGACACGGGCAGCGGACACACCGGCGACTCGTGCAAGAGGGGGCGGACAAACCAGCCAAGTTTTGAGAGAGAAAGATGTCTCAAACAAAGTTCAAATTGCCATTGATCAAGTGTGCTGAAGATTACAACTTAGAAAGAGTTTAAGTAGTCAAAGCATTAAATGCTAGCTCACATGCAAGCCTTAGATTTAATTTGGACCAAATAACAAAAATATAGCTGTTGGAGCTTCATGTGGGCCGAAATCCTTGCTGGAATAAAGCCCATGGGCTTCACTTGGGCTTTAGGAAATGTCTTCTTCGAGTGTAAGCAAGTTCCGGGCCGAATTGCGTCCGAAGAGTGAAGTGTTGTCTTTGGACTCCCGGGATCCGCTAAGAATGTCATTGACGGCCTTGTTGAGTGTGACACGAAGCGCTCGAGCTCTAGCACGAGTAAGTGGTGGTTCGGCTCTATGGTTTGCTCGGGAAGCCTTTGCGTTGTCCATGTCAAGTCCCGTTCCCGCGGCTTCGGATGATCGTGTGATGTTATGGTCATCCGGCAAGAGTCTTGACGCCTGATGGGCCAAGTCTTCAACGTCCTCAAGAGCTCCTTCCGTTAAGCTCCCGTCTTCAAGAGCTCCTTCCGTTATGCTCCCGTCTTCCTCCAAGCTGCTAGGTCCGATGTCCTCATCAGAATCCGTACCCTTGCGGAATCGCTTAGTCTAGGTTTTTATTACTTGAATCAAATCCATTCACCTAGATTGGCACGATCACTCCATGTCTTATGTTCGACATATGATATCACATTACAAAGGGATCATTGTATGAGTGCTTTCAGAGGTAGTTCTACTGAGGACCCCAATTTGCATATGACTCAGTTCAAATCTCTCTGCCAATCCGTTAGAGTAGCAAACGAAGTTACGACTGAGGAAGTACTACTTCTTGCTTTCTCTTTCTCTTTATCGGGAAAAGCACTTGAATGGCTTTATGCTCTACCAGTAGACTCAATTCATACTTGGAACCAACTTGCTGACAAATTCATGAACAGGTTTTTCCCTGCTCACAAGACCCAACTTGCGAAAAACAGGATTAATTCCTTCTCGCAAGAACATGGAGAATCCTTGGGTGAAGCATGGGAACGATTCAAGGAATACCAAAGAGCATGCCCTCATCACAACTTCGATAGATACTACCTTTTGTCAACCTTCTTGAATGGACTGAGAGATGAGATAAGGTTCTACATTAGCTGTGCCAGCGGAGATAGCCTTCAAAAGCTTACCTTCGATGAGTTGAAAGAATTAATTGAACGAATGGTCAGTGATAGAACTACTCCGACTGAGTTCTCACGAAGAAAGGGGAATGTAGAGAACGTTAGTGAAGTACACGCTCTTAAAGCTGAACTAGCTGAACTGAAGATGCAGATCTATTCATCGAACCACAACGCTTTAGGCGAAACATCGAATCAGCTAAGTGGAGACCAGTCTATATTCTCACAAGAACAAGGGGTTGAGGATGTCAACTATGTTGCAAACAATCCTTATTCCAACACCTACAACCTAGGCTGGAGGAATCACCCTAACTTCTCTTATAAGAGCAACAATTACCAAAACGCTCTTCAAGAGAACAGGAACCGAACGTTCCAAAATGCGGGACCATTCCAAGGTCAGACTTTCCAATAAAAGACCTCAACAACAGTTTCAAGGATACCAAGGGTATCAAGGAAACCAACAATTTAGAGGTCAACAACAACAACCTTAGCAAAAATTTGATCAGACCCCTGATATTGAGACGATGCTCGAGACATATGTATATGTACCTTCAAATTCAACATCTTCAACAGCTTCTCTAAAGGTGAAGGAGAGAATGGAAGCAACTCTCAGTGTCTCTTGGATAACTCTGCAAGTCATTGCCATTTTCTTGGTGTCTTCCCAACTTAGAAGCTTCCCTTCTTTGCTCCTCGCTATCTCCTCTTGCTCTTCCTGCTCCAAGCCACACCCACCATTATTCAACATATATATATATATATATATATACATATAACACATGATTTTGATCTCATAACTTGCATGAGAGATATATATATATATATAACATTAAAGTCAAACCCTTTCTTGATTATCTTACACTTTAAAAAATCTTGAAACTCGCTATAAAGTTTGGATCTTTTTCCGGTGCATTAAAGGTGAATATATATACATATATATATATATATATGACACATGATTTTGATCACAACTTGCATTGATTTCATTTAACCAAAAAAAAAACTTGCATTGATATCTAGAAAACACAAAGATGAATATATATATATATATATATATATATATATATTGGGCTGACCCATTTATAAGTAACACGCCCCTATTTTTATAATTAAAATTTTATAATTTCTTTGTAAATTTTGTAAAATTTTAAATAATATTGCTAGATACTCCAGTTTGCTCTCATTATTGTCTCGATCATAACCTACATGATATCTAGCTATAAAACATTAAAGTCAAACCCTTTCTTGAATATAATTCTTTAAAATCTTGATACTCTCTATAAAGTTTGGATTTTTTTTCCCTACTGCAAGTTAGTTTCTCTTTTTGTTATTTCCCCTATTCTATTTATAGAAAGAACATAACATTACTAAATACTAACCATAACAGATTGTAAGACAGCGGAATTCTCCGCCAGGTACTTGAGGATCCACGTGAGAGCGCTCGCGGTCGTGTCACGAGCCGCGAAGATAACGCCGATGACATTGTCGGCGATCTGGTCATCGGTCAGACCGATCTGGTCGTCGGCCATAAGCGATCCGAGGAGGTCGTGCCCTCGGAAACCGGTGAGTCGACGCGTCGAGATGATACGGGTCAGGATCCGAGCCAACAGCGTTCCGGGCAGGTTTATGGGCATTGAGTTGTACCCTTTCTCGAGGTTGTAATAACATCTTTTCAGATCTTCTCTGTATAGAATCTCATCCTTTCCAAATATAGAAAGTAGTGCCACGTTGAATGTGTACTGCATGCAACAATGTCATCAAAAGATTAAAAAAAAACAAAGTAATCCAAAAATGTCATTTAGAGCATCTTATTGGTTCGGTTATTTCGGTTTTATAAATATTATAACTATTCGGGATTTTTATTGAATTCGATTTTTGTTTTTATTGAAAATAATATTAATTTTCTTTAAAAAAAATTCATTTTTTAGGTTATCTTTCTACTTCTGTTTCGTTTTTTTCGATTTATATTAGGAATGACTTATTTGGTTAATAATTGAACCAATTCAAACCGAATAACATATACATAAACATTTTTTACAGAAATTTTCGATTTTTCCTTATTCGGATTCAGTTTTTTAGTTTTAGAAAAATTTAAAATATTCGGTTGTTATTAAAGTTGGCTTATTTGGTTAATAACTGAACAATTAAGCAAATCCAAACCGAATAGAATACAAGTGTAACCTAACCGAATCCGGTATGAAAACCGGATGGTTATAATTTCTCTAATTAAAACCGAAATAACCAAATCCAAATAAGACACCCGACTAGTTTTTATATAAAATTCGATTCGGTCACGGTTATATCGGTTCGGTTACTAACCAAATGAACCGATCCGATCCTAGTTTCGAGTTCATTCCTTTTCCAGCAATGGAAGGGTGAAATTAAAAAGAAAAAAGAAAAAGAAAACTCACCGTCTTCATCTCGTGGAAAGTATTGAGGAGCGTTCTCCCCTCCCAGACCCTGAGGGAATCAACGGCGATGGACTCAACGCAGGGGACCATCTCCCTGATGGAGAGAGGCGTGAAAGCTCTGAGAAGAACCCGTCGGAGCCTGGAGTGATACTCTCCCTGGTGGAAGAAGATGGCGTCTTTCCCCAAGATCCTCTCCTTGCTCGCCGGAAATGTCGGCTTGAACAGATGGGACCTCGTCACCAGCACGAGTTTCGCCGCCTCCGGGCTCGACACCATCACGCACCGGCATCCCAGGATCTGGGTCTTGAAGATCGATCCGTACCTGCAGCAGTTCACCAGATTTTCAGACACAAGAGATTACATTTAGGTACAGTTCCGGTTCCGGTTCTCGTCAGTTACAAATGTTGCTATATAAATAATGTAAATATTGATGGCTGTATGAATTATAAACGGATAGATTTTATAAGTTCGAGTTGGGTCGGGCGATTAGAGTTTTTTTATTTGAATTATTTTTCACAATTTTTTAAACCGGGTTTTTAGGTCCGGTACTTCGAAAAAAAAAATAGTGATTTTTACAAAATTTTAAAATTTGTATATTGATCTAAAAATTTATTAACGAATTGAACTTGGAATATTTTATATAGGATTTTCCTTTTGTAATGGTAATGGCAGTAATTATGTAATATACCATATTTAATCTAGGTTCCTACACATATATTATATAATTACTACGTGACCTTTATATTCTCTTAAATATACACTGCAACATGTAGACCTTAGTAAACAGGAAATCTATATTAAATCTCATATATTACATAATTACTATATTACTTTATATATATATATATATATTGTATACTTCAGGCCAAGTTATGTAATAAACAAATACCAATTGGTATAAACCGGTTTATAAATGTTCTACCGGTTGGTTAAAATTAATACTCTATTTAATCTGGATTGTTACCTTTATATTCTCTTAAATATACTTTACATCATGTAGACTTAGTAAACAGGAAATGTATATTAAATCTCATATATTACATAATTAGTATATTACCTTATATACATGCATATAGTATAGTTAATTTGGTCCGTCCCTTGACTCTTCTAAGGTTTTGGGCCAAGTTGTCAAAATACCTTAACCCGGTTCGGTTATCCAGACTGTGTGGTCTTCATAAACAAATACCGGTTTATGAACGGTTAACCGGTCGGTTAAGATTATGAACCGGTTTTGGAATCTAAGTACCTTTTCTGCTTGGAAGTGAAGAAGACATTGGGGTCTTGAGAGTAAAGCTGGAAGGTCTCGCCGACGTACGGCCAACCCATTGTCCCCGGCGGCAAAGACAGCTTCTTCTTCATCCTCTTTTCGTAAGATTTTCCCGAGAAAGAGAGAGAAAGTGGGAAAGAAAATAAGAGAAAAATAATCAATGGAAGAAATGGCAATGAACATAACACACCAATGAGTTCCATTCTTTGTTTCTTTGTTTTGTCCCCAAAATGTTACGTCTTTTTTTTTTTTGTTGTTGCTTTTGTTGTTTCTTGAGATTTCACAAAGTGGTAGACCATCGGGTTTATATAGGGTTTTGTAGAGAGAGAGAGAGAGAGAGAGAGAGAGAGAGAGAGAGAGGGAGAGAGAGGGAGATTTTTTTTTGTAAAGAGAGATTTTTCAAATACAGCTGGAGTTCCACTTTGGGAATCTCCCACCAGCTCATATACTAAGTTATAATTTTTATTTAAATATTGTCAATATAGAAGCATAGGATATTCTAATCATATCGTGTATATATATTTTAATATATATATATATAATCACTTACTGTATATGTATATGTTTGTGTATGTGATTATGTGTCATGAATATATATGTTCACGAGATTGATTGAGATTGATATTCTTTGTCAGTGCCTATTAGGATCCCAACCACACTACATAAGTGAGTTTTGACATCTCTTGTCTTTTTTAATTAGATAAATTTATTTAAATGAGATAAATTGTAATTTATAATCATATATACAAGTTTCTATAGGTTTATACATATAGTATATGGTCGCAAAAATAGGAATTATTTTCCATATCATAGAGTATATATACGGGTGTGTGTGTATGCGTTTATACTGAAAAAACTCTAATTAAGACATTAAAGACCATATGTACTAATATAGTTTCTTTAGTCAACGGTTGTGGTGTTATATCTTTTATGAAAAAAATTTCAAAAAAAAAAAATCTAAATCGGTAAATTTTTATAAAATATTGTTTTTTTAATTTAAAATAAACTTAAATTTTATAAACGTTGTTATTTTTAAATCTGAATTATGAGGGGTTTTCATAAAATATATTCTATAATTTTATAGATAATTTTATATGGGTTCAAATCACATCCAAACTTTATTCTCTGTTTTTTTGAGAGTTATAATTAGACTAAAGATAATATCAAAGCTACTGTGAATTTTTGTATTATAAAAAATTAAAAAATGGTAATAATAATGATAAATATTTTCTAAGCGAATGTGTTATAATATATTTTCGGAAATTTAGTATAGTTTTTTTTGTTATTATTATCATTTTCACTTATGTAATTAGGGTTGATTATCTTTTTTTTTTTGATAATTCGTAAATTCACCAGATATTTGGTCCGATTACATCTTCCAAAGGATCTTCCAAAGGATCGGGGAAGTCCAGGTAAATGTAGGATTGACTACTTGTATAATATATATGTCTTGAGAGGGACAAAGGGTCTTTAAATGTAATATCCGTAAACCCTCTTTCATAATACATATATAATTTCTTATTTTAGAAATATAATTGGTTACTTAAGCTAATTAATTAATTATAACCAATCACATCGTTTCGCCCATAGTTTCTCGTAGTTACTACACATGGGAATCGTGATATATATGTGTGTATATATATATATATATATATATATATATATATATGAAATCGACACTTGCATACCTTTTTATATGCATACATAATCTTTTATTTTTTAGTAATATGTATATCATTTTATATATTTATAATTATTTGAAATTATGGATCCCGTAACTATTCTATCACTATTTTAGATATGCGTATACTTAAAAATCAACATATTTATAATTGTTCACATATTCCATAATTTCTGTCTTTGAAACTTTTATTGTAAGAAGAAAAATAATATCTCGACACGTGTTCGGGGCGTCAATGATCGTAGCATGTCAGCATCGCTACGTGGGCCTCAAGGTGGCCCAATTTTAAAAAATAATTAATAAAAAAAAAATCCATCTAATTATTTGGCTGTAGGGTCCACGTGCCATATGTCCCACGCGCTTTCTCCAAAAAAACCTTTTTTTGCACGATGCAGTTCGCGCCTCGCGCGTCGATGTCACGCGCTTCATTTTAACACATTATTTTCATTGACAAATTTAATAAATGAAACTTTTATATTTCAATGATAAATATTAATACAGATGATATTTTACATGTTTTATCATATTTTAAGATATTACAATTATTTTAAAATTTTGTTCATGTAATATTTATTCTATTATTATACATAAATAAACGTCACCATATAAATATGTAACATGTGCATTGTGCACCTACCATACAGCTCTATTTAAATTTTTATTATTATTTTTCTTTTGAAAAATTGTACTTGTATTAGATGAGATCTCATTTACATTCATATCATACGCCAAAAAATAAAATAAATTGATAGAGAAAATATTTAAGATTATAGTTTTCGATTTTAAAATTCATGGTACATAAATAAAATCAAACCCAAAAGAAGGGTCGGATCTGCAATACTATATGTTTACAATTGCCATCGTCGGTTGTCCAAATACCATAATGATATATATATATATATATATTTTTTATAATTTATCTAATTTTGATAGTAATATATCATTTTTTTGTTAAAGTAGTAATATATCATTGATCGGTAAATAACAAATAATGTAGATGATGGTACTATGACATGACATGTGAATGAGTAATACACACATAGTTTGACATATAACATCATCACTTGCGTAAGAGTTTTGGATTCAGTTTCTTTTTTTAAAATGAAAAAAATAAGTAATGTTCGATAAAATCTCATGAATATTACATGCAAGTAAATATATAAATGGACAAATTTAGCCGCAATATCAAACTCGGTTAGGGCGCGTGAGATTCCAAAACATTGGGAGATTACGTAACAAGTGGATGCTGACGTCACTATCTCTTCAGACAGCTTCGCAGGTTTGCTCGTCATTTGGATCACAGCCTCGCATCTTTCGTGTTGGCAAGGGAAAAAAAACCCTAAGATATTCTCATCGCTAAATAAAATAAAATATTTTCAGTTTTATTATAATTTATCGTTAATAATACCTAATAAAATAAAACATGTGATACTAAAATGCATTGCAGATTAACGTTTAAGTTATAACATTATCTACTAAGAATAAAGGACAACAAAAAAAAAATATTTTGAGATGACACCAACTTTTATTTGGGGGCACTATTAAAAGTTAGACCGACCCACCAAAAATTAAACTAAAATTAAAGGGTAAATGACGTTAAAATTTTAAATCGGTAAAAAATTAATTTTTAAATTTGACGTATGAAAAATTTATTTTCAAACTTGCATACTATGTTATTATAATTTTCAAATTTGTAAAATGTATCATTTTAATTTTTAAACGAAATTATAGATCAACGTCGTCAATTTTTTTTTTACACCAATTAACAAGTTTGAGAATTATAATGATATATTTTTGTTTGCAAATAACTTTATCAAACGAAAAAAATAGAAATTAATTTTCTATCATTTTATTTGATGAATTTTAATGAGATTTACCAGAAAAAAAAAAGATTATATTGTGCCTTTTGATACAAATGCCAATTGGTGCATGACGCTTCGTGGAAGATGAGATGAATCTATAGACAACTTGTTACAGTGATATAACTATAAGCACTAGATTAATTGTATTTTTTATTTTATAATCGATTATCTGATTTAATCTGTATATTACAAGTGTGTAAGTGGGCCTTTATTTTAAATATTTATTTTATTTATTACAGAATGTAGTAATCTTGACTTTTGGCAGCCGCTACTCATAGCCCGGCAAGTGTTTTTCCTAGCCACAAGTGGATCTCACTTCATCTTCTCGTCATTGGTCGGTCCCCTATTACACACACATATATATATATATATATACACACACGATATGTTTGTGTGTTTAATTAAAAATAATATTGTATGGTATTGAGTTGTGATTAGGGGTGGACGTTTTGGTTCGGTTTTTCGGAATCGAATCGAAAAACGGTATTTTTCTCGATCCGAAACTGTTCTCAATTCCAAAACGATATTATTTTTAGAGAACTAATTTTTTCCGAAACCGAACTGAACTTTAAAAAGGCCTGAAAAATCGAATATTTTTAAAGAAAATCTATCTTTTCTTTAACAAAACCAGGAACCGAACCGAACCGAACTGAACATAATATAAAAACCGATTGATATCTATTTCTGCAAAACTGAAAAAACCGAACCGATCCATTCCTATTCCAAACCCGAACCGTTTCGAAACGCCCACCCCTAATTCTAATATACAAATGATAGTTAATTAGTTTGGAATATCTCGTTACAATTATTGTTTATAATCCGGAAGATCACCAGATTTTTATCTTAATTACATCCCAAAAAGATCATATACTCCGATAAATATATATTCCTAAATGGAGATTCAAGTTCAGATTGAAAATTAATTTTGTCTTATCTTTTACCGGTTGAGTCATTCAATATTATAATTATTTCATGATATTTAGTTTTTTTTTTTTACGAAAACAATCGAGTTTTTGTGTATACTGATAATATTGATTAAATATATAATATATATATATATATATAATTTAAGTGCAGAATCCAACACAGTGATTTAGCAATATATGAAGATACAATAGAGATTTGGCACAGAGCCACTTGAGGGAGGAAAGTCGGTCCAAATCCCAAAAGATAGCAACTTCACATTCTTCAAAAAAGGTGAAACAAAGCAGCATATCCATTGCAATTATATGAATCTCCATTTTCGTTGTATTATTTCATATAATATAGTTGGATAATTCTTTATGTGAAATTTAAATTTATTAATTTGGATTTGGGTTCTAATATATTTTATTGAGATTAACAATAAAATATAAAAAAAGGCTGTGTTCTATGAACAAAATCCAATTTTGTAGAAGTTATAAACATCTTTAAAACAGATCATGGGAAGATCTTATAATTAATTTTAATATCCGTAAAATAATCTCGTAAAGAATTATGAAATCAAATAGGTATTAATAACGATAATATCTTTACCATGGAACCAAAATACTCTTATATTATGAGTGTAAATATATACCAAAATAATATCCGCAATCAAATACAAATCAAACCTTAGACGTTGTGAGATATACTTTAAAATAAATTCGTAAAGAATTATGAAATCAAATAGGTGTTACTAACGATAATATATTTGTCATTGGACCGAAATACTCTTATATTATGAGTATAAATATATACCAATAATTAGAACCATAAACATGTGAAATCACATAAAATGTAATGAAATTAGAGGGTTTATATGTATATAACATGTTGTATAAACGAAATCGAGTTTTCTTTTAAAAATAAGTTCATAAATTTATGGGGGTAATTAGTTCGGTTAAGTTCGGTTTACGATAAGATATACCGATTTTGATGCCTGTGGGCCGGTCCGGTTTACCCAAAACAGAAATTAAAAATAATTTCCCAAGAGGCTAAACCATACAACGGATGGCTTTTGGGCTTTTGACAATAAAACTCTTTTTAGAAGCCTAGTGACCCAATCAAACTATTGGGCTTACATTTTTTTATTTATTATATTATTAGTTTATATTATATTTTCCAATGCATTATTTCGGCGAATTATTAGACAAAATATACAGAGAGAGATATCTTTTATTAGCATTAGCGAATCCAAATCTTCAAGGTCGGATTAATATTAACGAAAATAATAATAATTTTATGTAATAAAACAAACTAATATTTTTTTATTGTTGTTACCCAATAATTTTTTTTTTCTGTACATATTATATCAACGTGTTCCGACATGCCAACTCGTTTTGATCACGGACAAACATTACAAAGTCAAACTGCGAAAATTTCGGTTCAAGATCTATTTATTTTGGGACAAAAATATTGCTTATTGTTAATAAAAAATAAAATACTATATATTTTATTTTTCTCATTAATATGGATCATTAGAGCCTTAATTACGTGCAATTAATTCCCAATGAATTAAACCCAATCGTATTTACAAATACCCTTTCATCTCTTTTTAGCATCTTCAATTAATGCAATTATTTTCCTTTGATTTTTATCCTAAACGTCTTTACAAAGGACCCACATTTGGATATTCATATTATTTATTTTATTTAATTGAAATTTTAAACTTTTTTTTGGTAAAATTAACTTTTTAAATTTTTTTTAATTCATTATATACCATATATTACTAAATTACACTATGGCATTACTAAAATTAAACGCGATTATTAATATAGGAGTTTAGAAACAGATTGAATAAAAATTGGAATAAACATCGATTATAATTTTTTTTTATTTTTGCATTTTTATTTTGTAATTTTTTGTTTATTTAAATTATAGACATTACGATTAAGACAAGAATATTTGGTCTTTTTTTTTGCCATGTTTTTTTAATGTCACTATTGCGCATTACTTGACGGAATATTATTTTTTTTTCCGCAAAAAATAAAATAAAATATTATTATCATCGGCGAAGCTGGAGTATTAGGAGCAGTTGAAGAGAGGAGAGGAAAACGAAGTTGACCATAACGAAATGATCTGATCGATCGAAGAAGAACGAATTCGCCAAGACACGAAGCTTCTCTAATGGCGGTTTGAGAGGGAAAATTCCGAGGAAGTAAGAAGAAATCGCGAGGAAGAAAAATGGAGGGTTGGCGAAACGCCGTTCGCGAGGCCACGAATTCGAAGCCTCTGTTCGTGACGATCTACGGAACGGTGATCGTCGGCGTTATCGTCTCTTCCTTCTTCGTCTTCTCCGCCATTTACTCTCCCTCCAATGGCTCCTCCTCCTGGCTCTCCTCACCTCCTCTCTCCAGTAAATCCTCTCTCTCTCTCGCAATTCCATAGCACCAATTACTACACCGTTTCTTCTCATTGCTTGAAACTGGAATAGGGTTTTGGGTTTTCTTTTGTTTGGTAGTGTTTGGGGGTTTAATTACTGGTTTCGTTGTTTAGATTGGAAAGTTTCTAGTTATTCCTTGTCTGATGAACTTGATTCCGGAATCGAATTGATTCGTTTTATTAGCTCTCGATTAGGTAAGGTTTGATGGGTTGTGTTCTCTAATCCATTACCAGTGAAACGAAGCCCAGTCTTCGTAAAAGATCGGATCTTTCTGTTTTGGAAGAATTGGATAAGGAACGTCAGAGAGACAGTATTTTTGTATTTTAGACATGAAATCTCCTTACATTTGTTTCTATTGAGATGGCTTTTGATCACCATTGGCGATTTCTTGTTGTAGCATTTCGATCTGGGCAAGTGATTTGTTGGAAAATTTGATATGACCAGTAGTTACAATCACCATTTGTATACTGAGCTTCATCAATCTTGCATGACACTTCAGATGCATAAAAATTCTTGATCTTCCTTTTGCTAGAAACTATGCGCACTTTTCTTTTCCAGTTCAAATTGTTGGATGTAGTTTCTCAGCAACATTCTGTAAAATATGCTTATGAGCTTTCATTGCAGGTGTTGGCCGATTTCCCATTCAATCACCATCTAATGCCACGTCCGATTTACCTGTTTCACCACCATCACAGTCTCAAGGCAAATCCCTGAATCCGATCTGGGTGCCTCCTCAGGAAAAGAAAATGCCGCCTCTTGAGACCTTTAGATTGACGAAAGAATTGGTCGGAGAGAGAGTGAAGGACAATGTTGTTATAGTGACCTTTGGGAACTTTGCTTTTATGGATTTCATCTTGACTTGGGTTAAACACTTGACTGATCTAGGGCTCTCCAATATTCTTGTTGGTGAGTTCACAAGTAAAGTTCTCTGTTTCTATCTCCCACTTCATGGCCTTTCTCATGAACTGACATTTACGTTTTCGGTGTTATTGGTATTATAGGTGCCATGGACACGAAACTGTTAGAGGCTTTGTATTGGAAGGGTATTCCTGTTTTTGACATGGGAAGTCATATGAGCACAGTTGATGTTGGATGGGGTTCCCCTACATTTCACAAAATGGGAAGAGAGAAAGTTATTCTCATTGATGCTGTCCTACCTTATGGTTACGAGCTATTAATGTGTGACACTGACATGGTGTGGCTAAAGGTACTAATTTAGCATTTTTTTCGTAGATTAGCTTGTGAAACATATTATATAGTCTTGATAATATTTTTCTGTCTACAGGACCCTCTGCCTTATCTTGCTCGGTACCCCGATGCAGATGTTTTGACATCGAGCGATCAAGTTGTACCTACAGTTGTCGATGACAGTTTGGATAATTGGCCGCAAGGTTAGATTAGTTGGAGAGATCCATCCACCACCGTTTTTCATCTTTAAATTGTTATCATTCTGTGAGAAGTTCTTAGTTTCTGATTTTTCAATCACTAGTCTATTCGTCCGGCTTCTAATTTGTTTTCTCAACTCCCCTTTTCTTTAAACTCTGGAAGTTGGTGCTGCCTACAACATCGGGATATTCCATTGGCGGCCAACAGATTCTGCAAAGAAGTTGGCAAAAGAATGGAAAGACATGCTTCTAGCCGATGATAAGGTTTGGGATCAAAACGGATTTAATGAGATTGTCCGGAAACAGTTAGGTCCGTCTGTTGATGGGGATAGCGAGCTTTTCTATGCATACGATGGAAATCTCAAGGTTGGACTTTTGCCCGCTAGCATATTTTGTAGTGGCCACACATATTTTGTTCAGGTACCTTCTACAAATGCTTTCCCGATTCTGATTCTATCCATTATTCTACGTTCCTGACTCGGTCACAAACCCTTCAAAAGGGTGATAGGTTAACTCGAAATGGCCCTCCTATATGTATCAAGAACTCGGACAGTAATTGTCTTTTTTTGGAACTCAGAAAGGTAACTGTTTGCCTTTTTTGGACAGGCTATGTATCAACAGCTCCGACTGGAACCGTATGCCGTCCATACGACATTCCAATATGCAGGCACTGAAGGGAAACGTCACAGGCTTCGGGAAGCCATGGTTTTCTATGACCCGCCAGAGTATTATGATGCACCAGGTAAAACTCTTTGTCAGGACAAAGGGCATAATCTTCATAATCCTGCACATGATTATTGATAAAAAAAAACGCAATGTTTTAGCATTATACTAGTGTTGCTGATGGGATCAAACCTGCCAATCCATCTAACGAAATTATATGAACAAATGCAGGAGGTTTCTTGTCATTCAAGCCATCTATTCCGAAGAGCTTGTTATTAGATGGGCCGCACACCATTGACTCGCATTTTGCCCTTGTGAACCACCAAGTATGCATGTACTAAACCTAGTCCCTAGGAATTTTAGGTTAACTTGATGCTGTCATGTCTTTCTAACCATACATTTTACTTTTTGGGTTTTCTCTGTACAGATGAAACAGATTAGATCAGCTCTCGCCATTGCTTCTCTGTTAAACCGTACACTGGTGAGTTCCGTCAACACCCTCTTACACAAATTTTGTCACTTATCTGTCCTCAAACGATTGAAAATGGAAGTTTCTTATCCATTTTGTGACAAGCCATGCATCTATTTCCGTGGTTGATTTTCTGAATATCTTGCTGGTTTACAAATTTCAGGTCATGCCCCCAATATGGTGCAGGTTGGATAGGATGTGGTTTGGACATCCTGGTATTCTTGCAGGGTCTTTAACTCGACAACCTTTCATTTGTCCTCTTGATCACGTATTTGAGGTATTTCTCTAATGTCCAAGCAGTTCAAGAACATCACAATTTCTTTCTTCTATTTTTTGCCTTATGTCCCTCTGGTAATGAGTGTGAAAGCACCTTATAACACCCGAAATATTGCCATTACAGGTTAATATCATGTTGAAAGAGCTACCAGAGGAGGAGTTCGGCCCTGGGATCGGTATTAGAGAATATTCCTTCCTGGAAAATCCATTACTGCCAAAACACGTAATGAGCAAAAGCACCACTGAGGCATTTTTCTTTTCTGATTGATATATCGTCTCTGAAACTAAACCTTTTTCGTCTGCTTCTCTTTTTTTTTTAGGTAAAAGAATCATGGCTTGATGTTAAGCTTTGCCAGGAAGGATCCGAAGGATGTGAAGCTTCGAATAACACGAGTCCGTCTGGTGTTCTCAAGTTTCCAAAACGAAGCAGCGAAGAAAGAGTATTCAGATTCTTTTTTGCCTCTATCAGTTTACGTCTCGAGAAAATGATAGATCTTTGCTTCAGCTAATTACTTCACTCATTCTCTCCGCAGTTCAAGGCGATATTCTCCTCCTTCAAGGATGTCAAAGTGATCAAGTTTTCATCGATTCAAGACGCTTTCACTGGATTCTCCAACAAGGCAAGACACCTTATCTTATCAAAACCGAAATCCCTCTAAAAATTTCAGAAGACTTTTTTGTTGTTAATGGAGGAACTCATAGCTGATTTCTAGACGTATGCAATAGCATGTTTCAATGCCCTGTTGTTCCAGATGAGATCTGGTCTACGGTGACTGAAATAGAAGAAAACATAGATGAGATCTGATCTACTACGGTGACTGAAATAGAAAAAAGAATTTGATATAGAGATATCACCTTGTTATATCGTTTTTCTCGGAACATTACTGTGCAGGAGCGAGAGGAGAAGTTCAGAAAACGGGTGAAGACATATGTCGGGATATGGTGTTGCGTGGAGAACAAGACACCAGGGCACATTTACTACGACATGTATTGGGACGAGAAGCCTGGCTGGAAACCAGTCCCACCTCAAACCCCGGAAGAAGATCACCCACCTCTCTGATGCCGTGAGTCGCAAGAAAACACCTCGTCTGATCTGATGAAAAGGAAATCTTAATATGAGATTAGGGTTTTGGTTACTTGAGGACCACGAAACTATTGTGAAGTGCCCTCCTTTGTCTTAATGTAACAGATCTTCCTTTCTTTTTATAATTTTGTTCCATGAATTTTGAGTTTTTATGTTGAAATTACCCATTTATAGACTCACCACATTTAACCCCAAGAGAAAAAATTCTACATAATACATGGTTTTTAAATAATTTCCAATCAAGTATAAGCTTGGACTGTTCTAAGAAATATACATCTACTCTCCTAAAATAAAATTTAAAATATTTAGCAGAAATTGATTCACTACCACATATTTGCAATTATTTTTTGCGTATAAGTATAACATGTCTTGTTATTTCATCTAACACATGAATCTCTATAGATACTTGATGATACAATTTCAATCTAAATGTTATATTAAAAAAAATTCTAGAATATTATTATAGAAGACTTTTCACCAGCTTCTTTTTTACAAAAAAAAAAAAATCAGCTGTAGTTTTGTTTTTTTCGGTTTTTTATTTGGTTTGGTTGGTTTCGGTTTTTTCGATTTTAAAAAAATCGTATCCAATTAGTTTTTATATTGGATAATTGATTCGGTTACAGTTATATCTTGTTCAGTTTTGCTTTCATAACTAAAATGGCCACCCTAATAGCTGCGGAAATCGATTATGAATCTTTTTTCTGAAGCTGTTTGTTTTCGAGCAGGAACGAGAAGAGAGATTCAGAAGAAGGATGGAGAAATGTGTCGGAACATGGTGCTGTCTGAAGAGAGGGACTCCGAAGTACGTACCGCACGACATGGAAGAACCATCTTTTTCCGTACGATCGATGTTTAGGTTAAAGGGTTTTCTTGACGGCTAAGGATACTGTCGTTGCAAAACTGAAATATTAATTAGTTTGGTGTAAGAAATTAGTTATTGTCGGCGCAATAAAAATATTAATAAGATTTTATATGTTTGTTTAAAATTCGAGTTCAAGAAATCAAAGTAATTTCACTAATAGCAATAGGTGAAAAAAGTTTATTCGATGAAGCTTTTTCTAAGTTTGAATTTAAACAATAATCCAATAAATGATTTACTTAAATCTTGTTTAGAAATTAACTGGTCGGGTATGATAGCTTTTTAATTTGTAATATTTTTTATAAAAAAAATAGGGAATTAATAAAGTTGTTAGAATTTCTAAACCTCTCGTACCATTCCTTTATATCGAATTACTTATAATTTTATCCATTAAAAAAGTTCAAAATACAAAAAAAATATTTATACATTGTTCCGAATATTTTTTCAATACTTGTTTTAATTAGACGTCAAGTTTATATAGACTACGATTACTAATATAATTAATGAGATAGTGTGTATATATATATATATATATATATATAGTTTTGTATAAAAAAACACAATATATTTTAAATTTTGGTTTCATTTATTATTAAAAGTGGCCCACCAATTAGGCACTCTACACCAAATAGAAGAAAAAAAAAAGAAAAAGAAAAAAGAAAAAGAAAAAAAGCAAACAAAAAAAAACCTAACAAAAGAAAAGCCCTAACATGAAAAAACCCTAAAACAATCAAACTCTTTAGCAGACAGCCTCGACGGCGAGCTTCCTAGCAAAACCGCCGTCGCAATCAGCGGCTCCGAATATATCAGCCGAAACGTCGATGGAACATTTCTCTTTTCCGACACATTCCTTGGCAAGAATTGCCTCAGCGTCGTTGCTTCCTTCGCACGTGCCTTTCTCGAACGAACCGCAAACTCCTCCTGGGTTTCCAAACGATGCGAATTTGATTGCAGAAATGGGTTTTCCATTGCAGGAGAGTTCTAAGGTGTTCTTCTCGTATGCATTTGCGCAGATGCTACCGACAGTAACTGTCTGGAAGTTGACGAGTGAAGGGTTTCCTCCAATCTCCTCGAACAAAACCAGTGTGTTGTCCCCTTCGGAGTTCAAGAAGGAACGAGGAACATGGTACCTGAAACAACCACCCAAAAAAAAACCATGACTTTGAATCAATATCTTGAAGAAAGGATCGGTTTATGTAAAGAAAATTCGAGAAAGATTAGGTTTTGAGGAAAACCCAACTCAAAATTTTGAATTTCCAGCAAACCCAACTGAAAACTGACAAAAAAGATTTGATCTTTTTTATGTACCATCTTTGAGTGGTTTGAATCAATATCATGAAGAAATGATCGATTTTTTTTTTTTTCTGAATAAAAATCGATAAAGATTAGGTTTTGAGAAGAACCCAATTCAGGATTTTGAATTTCCAACAAACCCAATTGAAATCTGATTAAAAAAAAAAGATTTGATCATTTTTTACCATCTTTGAGTTGGTTGACCACAATTGGTCTGACACTTCTCGCTTCCATATGAACCTCTGTAGTCACAGACAGCAGAGCATCCATCTTCGCCGGCAAGGAAGCTCGGCCAGTATCGTCCGATGTTGTTACCGTTGATCCAAGCTGTTCCCTTTCCGAGTCCCAAAAGGTCCACAACGACTGGTTCCGTTCCTAGAGGAGCCTTGAAAGTGGTCTGAAATCGAATAACATTGGAAAAAGAATGAGCCGATTTCGACCAATCGAACATATATATATAACTGATGAGAAACCACTAAATTATCAACAATATTACCTTGTACCAGGTCATCATTCTGTTGAAGGGAACACTCTCCTCTGACCATTTAGAAGATGTTTCTGAACTGAAGAGTTGGTCCTGGAAGCCGTCCAAACCGGTCTTGTAACTCCATTTGTGGCCAGACAAGTTCTTGACCACTGTCTCATCTCCATTCCATCCGACAATTTCGACTGGTCCTGTGATTCCAGCTGCTCCGGTTTCGAAGAATGCTCCGTAGTTCTGCACAAGGAGGAATACAGCAGTTGTTTATACATACTTGAAGAAGATTATATATACATGTGTGTGTGGATTTAGCTTTAACTTACGGCGAATCCAACAGTGGTACTGAGCAGAGAAATCTGGTTAACTCCGGGTTTGTATTTCACGTTTTGCTCAAACATGTAGGTGTACTTCCCATCCTTAGCCCATTGGGAACCTGAATAAGAAAGAAAAAAAACCGAACCCATTTCGCGTTTGATGAGAATTCTAACTCAGAAACAACACTAGCTAGGGTTTCATCATTCATTACACTCACCAATGTGCTCTCCGTTGACAAAGACGTGAAGAACATGAGCGGTGCTGTTGATACGGATCGTCATGTTCTTGGACCAGACAGGATCGCTCTCTTTCAGATGGACCTTGGTCATGTACCAGAGGTAATCGCTCTCGTCATTGGCCACGTTCTTCTGGTCAAACAACTGGTTCATGGCCGAATCCCCCTTCCCTCTCAAGACCGCCCCATCCATAATCTCCGGTCTCCACGACCATTCCAAAGACGACGGCTCCTCTTCAGCTCCGTTCGGTCTCTTCACCATCACCGAAGTCTGAGTATTCACCTGAAGAAAAAGAAAAAACACAGATCACGGGAGATGGGATTTCGTACGGATAAGGGTTTAGATTCAGAAAATTAACCAACCTTTGCAGTGTTGTAAGCTTCGGTCTTGCAATCTGGAAGAACAGTAACAGACCAAGCTGGAACTGTGTATTCTGTCCCTTGGAAGTTGATTGTGGCATCAGATGATGAATTCGCATTCCCCAAGAAACAGCTCGATCCTTCCTCGGTCGCGTAAATCGTCGCCTTGAAATCGAAATTCGAGAGTTTTATTAATCCGAATTCAAATGCAAAAAACAACAAAAAAACTAATAAAAAATCATATATATATATATAGAGAGAGAGAGAGAGAGAGAGTTATTACAGTGACGGAGTTGTCGAAATCAACGGTGGTGATGTTTCCATGAGTTAGGGTTTTCTCCATGGAGTGAAGAACATCATGAAGTTGCTTCAAGTGACCGTACTTTGGTTGATTCAACTGACCTGATTTTTCGTTTATTTATTTTATAAAAATATTAATTTATATACTCGTATAATTACTAACAATTAATAAATAATTAAATTAGAAAAGATTGGTTATAAAATATTACCGAATTCATCAAGAGGGGCGTTGTAGTCGTACGTTGTCGTGATGTACGGACCGCCTGATGTTCTACCGAAGTTGGTACCTCCATGGTACTGGAGAATAAAAAAAAAAAACAAAGCCATGAAATCGTTAATTATATGATAATATTTATATATAAAAAAATATTATTGAAAATACTATTTATTGATTCGGGATTTTAGATCTAAAAATATTAATCAGTAAAAAAAAAAAGAGACAAAAGACACAAACCATGTAATAGTTCTGGAAAGTTCCACCCCTTTGGAAGAATCTAGCAACAGCGAACGCAAGATCCTCTGCTGTTCTGTACGGATCTTTGCTTCCCCAGTTCTTAAACCTAATATATTTTCATGAATTTATAAATTTAAATACATATAATTTATAATCAAAATATAAAATATATATATATATACACACTAACCAGCCGGTCCAGTTCTCAGTCCACATCTTTGGAGTGTTGGGGTTGTTGGGTTCGAAGTTATCGCAGTAGAATCCGTTGCATGTGTTCAACTAATTCAATCATTTGAAAATTTTCACGAATTTAAATTGAAATATATATATATATATCATTTTGGAAACTATAATATAAATAATTAAATATACATACCATAGGTTGTGGTGCGTCATCTTGTTGGCACATGATCCACGGGACGCCAACGTCGAGAGAATTGGCCATGTTGGCACACCAATCGATGTACGCCTTTCCCGCCGCTCCATACGATTGTATGACGTTTCCATATTCATTCTCAATCTGTTACAAAAATTTAAATACAAACCCATAAATTTTATTATTACATTTCATTTAATATTAATGGTATTTTTAATAAAAAATAAATAAAAAGATAATTTATTTAATTATGTACCTACCTGGGCTAGGATTATGGGACCTCCTTGTGATGCGAAGAGATTTTCTTGCTTGGCCATGTCCACTATCAAAGTTGTGAAATTCTGCATCTCGTTCTGCACGTTTTAAATAAAAATGAAATTATTAAATTTATGGTATAGTCAATTGGTATATAATATAATAAAAATAAAATAAAATCGAATGCAATTACCATGAACGCAGTGTTGGCAGTCCTGAATTCGACTCCGGGCATATTGTGCAACCACACGGGAAATCCTCTGAAAATAGTTCAATAGAAAATGAAAATATTATAAAATTAAAATATCTACTAACTCATATAATATAAGATCAAGAAAGCGTAATTTCAATACATAGAAAATGAAATGATATTAAATTAAAATATCTACTTACAAATATAATATAAGATCAAGATATATGCACTTACCCGTAGTTCCATTCCGCACAAACATACGGGCCAATACGAAGAACTGCGTACAATCCTTCGTCTCGGACCGTTTTGAGAAATCGAATGAGATCTAGATTTCCCGAAAAATCGTACTGACGATGGGCCGGTTCGTGGGCGTTCCAGAAAACATAAGTCTCGATCGCGTCTAGTCCTCCTTCTTTACTCTTCTTTATAAGATCCGGCCACATCTATATACGCATATATAGAAATTGAAAATGTAACCAAATACATAAAATTGTAATATGGTTTGGTAATTAATATTATATATTATAAAATATGAAATGAAAAAATTTTAAACCTCGGGTGTGCTTCTCGGGTAATGAATGGAACCCGAAAGAAGAACTCGACGTTGGCCATCAATGGTGATGGCTCGACCATCGTGTGAAACTATTGTGGCATAAACACAAGAAAACATAAAGAATAATGGAAGAATAGTTTTTAGAGAAATCATTTTTTTTTGTTTGAGTGTGAAAGTTATGGGTGAAATGATCGATCGTTACTCATCATGTATTTATAGTAAATTATTGAGATTTTATTTGATTTTTAAAAGAAAAAAAATCTTTTGGATAAAATTGTATCTTAGTTGTTAAAATAAAATTTTATTTACACGAAATAGTTGATTTTTTTATTTAATTTATTTATATTCAGAGATTTCTTATCATATATATATATATTCCTTTATTTGTTATTACGACGATTTAACTATTTTTTAGATAAAAAAATACTATATCTTCTATAAATAAAAATAATATTAAATAATTATTCGATTATCAATACTAAAATTAATTGGAAAATATAAAAATTGAAATTCTATTGGTTAATTTTTTTATTTTTGTTTTATTAACATTGCAAAATATCCTAACTAATTTTTTGATTTATTATTTATTGCAGATATGATATTATTTATCAAACATTTTAAATTATATCAATATTTGTTTTAGATTTTCTACGGATTAAATGAGATTTTTTTAACAAATATATAAATTTCAGTTTTAATTTTAAACAATTATTTGTTGATGTATAAATAAATTTAACTAATTCTTATCCACGCTCAAAATTTTAAAAATCACGTTAGAAATCTCTCTCTCTCCCTATATATATATATATATATATCACATATGTATATTTATTTGTTTGTTAATTTTAGAAAATTACGTTTTATTATTTGTTAGTTATTTTTTTTCTCTTTTTTGTTATTATGATAGAGATTTTCATGAAAATTATGTTTATTTATTAGTTAATTTGTTTTTTCATTTTCTTGATATCCCAAAAAATCCTAACAAATTTTTAGTTGCTCGATCGATATTTCATTAATATACTGTTTAAATTGATTCCCCATTTTTAAAATAAATAAATTTATACCTATTATATCATAGTTTAATTTTTTATGTTGTATTTTTCACATTATTTTTCAACTTAAATTCTATTTTTTTCATATTTTTATGTATAATATATATGTATTGTTCGGTGACATACAATGTTATTAATATGGATTCATATATCATTTTATTATTATACTAATTTATTTATTATTTATCAGAAAATACGACTAAAGTTTCTTCTACCATTATAAATTTAATATTCATTTAAAACATAAACATAAATATTAGGTTAATAATAATAATAAATATAATTAAAAAATAAATAAAATGAATTTTGTTTTTTTTATTTCATGTATGATATTATCCATAAACCATTTTAAATTATATCAATATATTTGTTTAGATTTTATACGGATTACATAAGATTATTTATCAAATATATTTATTGTAATGTTATCTTTTGAATGGAAATTTTAAATATTATTTTTTACCTAAATTTAAATTTCAAACAATCAACCCATATCATGGTTTTACAAAAATCCACGTGTCAAAGGTGGCGATGGCATCGTGAGAAATGTGACATATTTTTTTTCTTCTACAATAGCATATCTATGTATATTGAATTGCAATGAGATAGATCTTGGTCATGTATGGATCCAAAGTGCCTCCGAAGATGGATTTTTACAGAAGGTCAATCCGGACCGATTCCACCTGGATTCGGACCGGATCCAAATTGACGACAAATTGGAAACGGACCGATTCCACCTGGAATCGGACCGGATCCAGTCTCTGAGCAAATCGGACATTTTTCACATCGACGTATCCGATTCT